TTGGCTGCCTCCTGCATGGCCTCCACGGAGGACCGAGACTCCAACCCGAGCATGTGCCCTGACCAGGAATTGAACTGTGTCCTCCTGGTTCATAGGTCAACACTCAAACACTGAGCTACACAGGCTGGGCTGATCCTTCTTAAGAGAGACCTAGCAACTACGACCATATATTTGGGGTGTCACAGGGAATGAAATGTATTTGCGCACTGGTCACCATTTTCTAAACAACCTTTGTATTTTGCATGGAGTTTGTGCACTGGGGGGTGTCCCTTAGCCCAGCCTGCAGCCTCTCCAATCTGGGACCCCTCAGGGGATGTCTGACTGCCAGCAGTCGGACATCCCTCTCACAATCTGGGACTGCTGGCTCCCAACCACTCACCTGCCTGCCTGCATGATTGCCCCTAACTACTTCTGCCTGCCTGCCTGATCACTCCCCTAACCACTCCCTTGCCAGCCTGATCAACACCTAACTGTTCCCCTGCCAGCCCGATTGCCCCCAACTGCCCTCCCCTGCAGGTCTGGTGGGATCGGGCCTAAACGGGCAGTCGGACATCCCTTGAAGGGTCCCAGATTGGAGAGAGTGCAGGCTGGGCTGAGGGACACCACACCCCCACCTTTCTTATTTATTCCCCACTATAATCCTATGGGGAGATGATTTCAACCGCATTTTACAGATTAATTAACTGAGGCTTGGAAACAAGAGCTGTAGAACCAGGACTTCGGACCTGGATTTGTCTGATTTGGACAGGGAGTCTTTCTGTTGCAATGAAAATTGAAAAGAAAAAGCAATAAAAAAAAGAAATTCAGATCACATGAGAAATTTATTGGTAATGCCAAGGACAATGGAGACATATAACTTTCAGACTAATGCTTTCTCTGAGAAAAACTAGACCAGCCAGATTAAAAACAACCTATTTGAAGAGATTGGTGGATTGCTGACACATTCTGAGACTGAGGCTGAGAGAAGACTAGATACTTTCCACGCCTGGCAGGGCAGCAGTGAGTCTGGAAGTTACTCCAGACTGATCAGGACAGAGGCTCTCATCCCTGCCCCAGACTGCTTCCCGACATGGCCAGGGTTTCCCCAGGTTCATCCGCCTCAGGAGTGTCCTGCAGAGTCCTCTGGAGAACCAGCCTCAGGGTGTGTCTCTGCTTCCACCATCGCTGCCTGAAGGAGCCAACGAAGAAGTAAATGATGGGGTTGGCACAGCTGTTGATACAGGACAGAAGTACTACCATCAAGGAAACATGAAAGATGGCAATAGATTCATCTGGAATCCAGACTATGAGGAACCAGTGGATGCCAAAGGGCAGGCCACAGAGGAGGCAGACCAGCACCGTGAGCACGACGGTCATGTAGAGCCTTGTGGGTGGGACCCGATGGGAGCCACACAGCATTCTGGTCATCAGGGCCAGGCTGGACCCAGAGAGAAGCAAAAATAATAAAATCAGCCACGCCACAGCGATGAAGTCAAACACCTGACACACGGAAGGACTGAAAAAATTCAACAGAATCCAAGAGAAATTTTTATCCAGGATGCTCAGCAGCAGGGACAGGGCCCAGAGCAGGGCACACATGATGGTTGACAGGTGTCTGGGGCGGTGGCAGCGGTACCAGATGGGCCACAGGACAGACAGGCAGCGCTCTGTGCTGATGGCGCTGAGAAAGCTCAGGCCTGAGATGTAGGCAAAGGTTGACACAGATGAGAGAAAGCTGTTAATTACTTCAATGACAAAATGAAACCTGAAAACTAAAACTAGACTCTGTATAAATCGGCAGCAGAGGAAGAGGAAGTCAGCCCCCGCCAGGTTGAGGATGTAGACAGAGAAGGCGTTCCTGCGCATGCGGAAGCCCAGCAGCCAGAGCACCACCAGGTTGCCTGCCAGTCCCACCAGGGCCACGATGATTGTCAGTAATTGCAGGATTATGAACTCTGTATAATATTGATAAATGACCACATCAATTCCATATTGTATTGTGAGGTTGGTCTCCCAGGCTGTGACAGTCATATCCGTGCTCAGAAACGCTGCAGTTGTGGGCCTGGAAACAAAACAAGACTTGAGCACCTGCTCTATGACCACTGACCCTCATGGCCAAACTGTCTGTGGCCAAGAGAGGCTTCCAGAGACTAAGATTCTTCCTGAACCACATGGTCTTGGAGTCCTGGATCCTAAATTTAAACGCAATTCTCTCTGAATCTTAGAGCCTGGACTGTTTTTACTGCAACACGGACCCTCTATGTCCAACCTCTGCGCTCACCATCCAGCCCATAACATATGCCCTGGAGGCAGGAGGAGAAGAGTCTGCCCAGGTCCTGTGGATGACAGCAGGGTCCTGAGTTCCCCAGTGCTTGTGCTCTGGGAGAGTGGCTTTGTTTGACAGCAGGCTATCAGAAGCCCCAGGGCAATCTCAGTGACTGAGAGTGGTCTACCCAGGAGGGAGAAAGGAGGTTATGACTTAGGCTTATGAATGGAATGAGACCCCTTTTAGGACAGAGTGAGGACACCCAAAGCTCTTGCATTAGAAATGTCCCAGTGTGTCGTCTCTATGAGGATAGACAGTGATTACTCTTCCCATTGTTGTGTCCCCAGGACCTACTCTATGTGTGGAAACCATGGGGCTGTCAATAAAATTTTAACCCACAAATGAATTAATGAATGGAAGAACCAGGGAAAGAAGGAAATTTGGATTTAATATAGTATAAAACTTTGTTTAATGAAGAATTTTAAATGTAAAACAGAAGTCAGCACTTTTAACTCCACCACCAAAAAACACATATGTTATGAAAAGAAAATTCCATTTCTAAGTTTTCATTCTGTGAAAAACTCTTCTGTGTTTGAAAGAATTTTTTTATGCCTCCAGACACCTCCTGTCCAGGTGGGAGAAGATTCAGGACTGAATTGAATTTCTCTGTATTTTAGAGGAGAAAGAGCCTGTTTTGAAAGGAGAGGAAGAGGTGGCAAAGGGTTTAAATAGAGGTTATTGGAATAGAAATATGGAAAGTGGAATTATTAAGTGATTTTCCAATACTTTGTGTAATATAAAAGTCATTTATCGTCACTCCATGTGATTTGGAGCAGAAATTTCTTTTCAGATGAAAGTATTTGTGTAAGAGAATTCTCGTGGTAGTGGTGGTAGTGGAGTTAAGAAGTGCTTACTTCTATTTTACAATGGGCTTTGGATGAAAAGAGAGAAGCTCTTGCAGAATTTAGGTGAGAAATGTAAATCTACTCACACATAGATGAAGAGGAGCTGCTGATGAGTGCTTACATGGTATTACCTCTTTCAATTCTCCAAATAGCCCTAGGAGGCCAGTACTATGCCTATACCCATCTGGCATATGGGATAAGACAAGCACAAGGAGGTTGAATGACATGCTCCAGTTCTCACATGCACAAGTGGAAGAGCCTGGATCTGATCCCGCAGGTCTGTGTCAGAGTGTTCGCCCTTCCCCTACCTGCAGCCCCATTACCAGGGGTGTGTGTCCGGTACACATGGGGGAGGGGGAGGCAGGAAGCAAGTAACTCAGGGATAAATCTAAAATGGGAACTCACTAGGAGAGGTCCTCAAACTTTTTATTTTTTATTTTATTTTATTTTTTTAATATATTTTATTGATTTTTTACAGAGAGGAAGGGAGAGCGATAGAGAGTCAGAAACATCGATGAGAGAGAGA